CGTACGAACTGGAAGACGAACGCGTTTTCCCTATCACCTGAAGAATCAACTTTTGTGTGCTAATTGCCATACAACTCACTGGTAATTCATTGGCAGCGTCTTCAACGGGCTTACGACTCAAAATACCACTTGGAATGTTTTTTCGTGGAATGTGATCAATGTCAAATGAGTAATCAGAAAGTTCTAAATTTCTCTGATTTTGATGTCAAAAGGTATGTGAGAGGTTTATGATGATCTCTGTCGAAATTTCCTAACAGCCCAAGTGTACTCAACATCAATGATGTCCCGCTAAACCTATGTACTAAAACGTCAAGTGTGTACTCAAACATCAATGCTGTGTGTGTACTCAAACATCAATGCTGTGTGTGTGTACTCAAACATCAATGCTGTTCCATCGTGTGTACTCAATGCTGTGTGTACTCAAACATCAATACAGAAACTGCGACACCAATGCTGGCTGTGTGTTTCTGGTCCATCGTTGTTTTGTGTCACCTTCCATACAACTCCTAAAATGCCTCTCAACGAAATAGAAATAATAATTCCTAAAAACAAGAGATGACATTGGTGTGTGTATGTGTGCACAAACATCAATTCTGTGTGTACACTCAAACATCAATACTGTGTGTGTACTCAAACGTCAATGCTGTGTGTGTACTTAAACAACAATGCTGTGTGTGCTCTGTGTGTACTCAAACATCAATACTGTGTGTACTCAAACATCAATGCTCTGTGTGTACTCAAACATCAATACTGTGTGTGCACTCAAACATCAATGATGTCTGTGTGTACTCAACATCAATACTGTGTGTGTACTCAAACATCAATGCTCTGTGTGTACTCAAACATCAATGCTCTGTGTGTACTCAAACATCAATACTGTGTGTGTACTCAAACATCAATACTACGTGTGTACTCAAACATCAATGCTGTGTGTGTGTACTCAAACATCAATACTGTGCCATCGTTTAAAGTTTGAGGTATGTAGTTTCAACAAAACCAGAAACTGCGACGTCGTGTCACTGTGTTTTCTGGTCCATCGTTGTCAGAAAACTTGCTGTTATCAATGACTTTCAGTGGTACATCTATACAGCTTCCACCACTAGTTTGCCCATCATGTTCAATTGTGTCTGTTTCGGCTGATAGTTTAGACTTGTCATTCTGTTGCGTTGACGTTTCATATTTACGACCAAATTTGAATAATCTCAGCATTAGATAAGACATGAGAAAGTCACAGTGACAGTGCGTCCTAATACATTCAGATTCATCACAAGACACGACCAACATGACGGGGCAGATTTCCTAAGTTGTCAATGAACCTGTGGCGATTTGATGTTAGTCATTACCGATAATTTGGTCGATCATTCAAAGGTGATTATAAGATGCGTCGAACAGATACTGAAGTAATTTCATAGATTGCAGCAGGAGATTGTTGGCTGTCACTGTCAGTCTCGGCTGGTTCCAGTCGATAGTTTTGGTGTGCACTTCTTCTTTTGTTCACCGGGATGGATCGCAGCGCGATTATTCACGACGGGCATGAAGTCAAACACACTGACTTTTTACAATGTATGCCAAATCCCGAATTCAATATTAAAATATCTTAATGATCGATACTCCACCAGCGGGTCGGCAGTGAACACATTCACGTGAAAAACGGATTAACGTCAACGATCATGTGACTGGAAGGCTGTCTATCGTGTAAACTTCTCATTTCCTAATTATTAAGAGAACAGTTTCAGTGAGGCACAACCTTGACCCCTAGACGATGAATTGTTATGAGTGCGCCCTCTACATTTACACAACCCTGTACTAAGCTTTGCATGAACACCATGTGAACTGTAGCAGTTGATCTCTGAATCATGCGAAACCTTGCAACCTGGGGTTCCTTTTACGAAGCCACCTTTACTAAGGTTAATCTTAAGTGCCATTCTTTAACATTGCACTAAGGTTACGTTAGTGACCTACGAACAGCTGTGTGCATTGTGAATGGAGGCCCTGGTCTGCTAGGGACTTTTAAACACATTACATGAGCAAGGGATTCCTTAATCCGGACGTTTCATAATCCGAATGGTTTCACTATATAATTTTAGGTACCTTCTGGGCATTACTGTTAATGCACTCCACGTGGACAAACATATTACATATGCTTTAACAACATATTACATGTGCTTTGAGCAGGAAAGGCACATGTGTGAGAAACCTGCTGTGAGTTTGTAAACACACCTGTACGTGCACTTGGATCCGCACGAGAAGGCTCCAGTGTGACTCCTTACCTGTACTCACCTGTACTCTCACCGCTTCCGGGCCTCCACTGTGTACGCAGAGTTCGATCAATAAAGCATTACTTAGCTGTTCCTTCGTGTAAACAAAAGTCAGCTTTCAACGCACGCCCTTTAAGGTAGCACATAAAACTAGCACATGTATACATTGTCAGAATGTTACCTGAGCTAAATGGCAGACGGATAAAAGACACATTGATCAGTTGATGGATAAAACACTCTTACACTTTGAGGCAAAGAAACAAGTATTCCCGGACTGCAAGACAAATCAGACTGCCGGAGGGTTAAATCTTGTTTCAAAGGTCTGTAGAACACATTGACGATATAGCTTTGTATCCTATATGATGCCCAAATAAAAATATATTATGTCTTCATCAATACGTAAGAACGTGGAATATGTCTTCCAAAATGACCTTCTAAAATCCTGTACATGGCAGCAACTATTGTTTACAAATATGTGCATATTGCAATTTGGTATGAAAAATAGTTTTGTGCATGAAACAAGAGTTCATGCCAAACCATTATGATCCATTAAATCACGTCAGGGCATTTTTTCAGTTTAAAATATTTTAGATAGGAGCACTATACATGCGATATTTTCTTAAAGCATGTGTATGAGTTGTTTAGCCTTTCTTTATCGACAGTCCGTCGTATGTACAAGGGATGTTCTAGGCTCCATCCACGAACTCCTATCTCTAGTAACCCCGACTAAAGGGTTCACCTTGGACACGGACATCCAGACTTCAGTTTCCCATCTACGCAAAGCCTATCTCCACCCAATCACACAACCCAGACATAACAAAAACAAACTCTCCAAACCCATTCTCATCCCATCTTTCTCCCAATGGCATCCTCAGCCAATCTTTAACCATCTTCATACCATCTTTAGCCCATCCCTAGCCCATTTTTGCCCAATGGCATCCTCATCTTTAGCCCATCCCTAGCCCATTTTTGCCCAATGGCATCCTCAGCCCATCTTTAGCCATCTTCATACCATCTTTAGCCCATCCCTAGCCCATTTTTGCCCAAATGGCATCCTCAGCCCATCTTTATCCCATCTTTAACCCATCCCTAGCCCATCTTCCGCCCAATGGCATCCTCAGCCCATCTTTAGCCCATTCTCAACCAATCCTCACCCCATCCTCAATTCATTCTCATCCCATCTTTAAATAGAAGTGACAAAACCCTTTCCGCATTCTTAAGAAATCTCTGCCAAAAAGCAGAGTCGAATGTACAATTGTGACTATATCATGAGCAGATATTTGTTTCAGCAGTATTACACATCTCCATCACATCCCGAAGCCACAGACCACAACACAGAATGAAACATGACAGTAATATTTTATTAATCTCGTTGCAAAATGGTGACATGCTATTGGAGTGTCGACACACGGAGAGATCACACATGGACACACACGATCACACATGGAGTCAGATGCTGACGATGGTGCTATGGACGGCATCAGGAGTTTGCATAGTAACGGGCTGATGAGGAAACCGACAGATGTCCTGCTGTAACAGCCGTGTAAATCATTCACATAATCATACATTCGTCTACAGAGAATGCTTTACGATATTACTTCTGTTATTTTAGTCTTATGACAATGAGATATCATGTAAAAACAAGATTCTCATGATTCCTTACTGAAACATCCTTGGCGTCGTTCCAAAATGTATTCTTAGGGATACAATATTGTACCTGCTTTGCTTTGATAAGGAAATATGGCTGACACAGTGATCGAATAAATGTGAGGAACGAGGAATCCAAGGATTTCGAAATTCCAGACTAATGAAATCAATACATAATCAATTCCCCAACATGTTTGTTCCTGGATTCTGTTATATATTATATAATACTTCTAGTTTGTGTTGTGGCTACATTACATTGCAGGATATCTCGATTTCCTCAGTGTCTAAGCATTCAGTCTACTGTATCCGCCGGTGGACACCCTGACACGTGTAGTTCCGGGGCCACATGACTGACTCGAACACCCCCGGTCCGGGTAGGAAGACACCCGGTGGTCATATTGTGCGTAATCCTAGAAATTTAAAGAACATGAAAGTGCATATTGATAATCGTGCATTGCTTGCTGTGCGGACAGTCTCGCCCAAACACGCAGCACCTTGGGCGTGAGACAACCGTGAGGGCACAAGGGGAGACAGCTCACATTACGGTGATTTAGGAACTATTTCCATTATTGGGATGTACGGTAATACTCGTTTGGCACTTGGTTATTGCTTATAGTATAACAGAGCATTCATATTCCATTCAAACCTCACTTTTCATTGTATTAGCCATGTCAACAGATTTGGATAAAACTACGGGCAGTTATACTATAACCATATCTTCGAGAGTACCAACTCCACAAAGGTAAAGGAATCGGCCCAACCGTTCAGTATAGCATATTGTAATTAAAAGTGATAAATATATAAGACAAAACTCTTTCCATTGCCACAAGAAATGTCTCTGCAAAGAGCAGAGTAGATTGTTCAATTCAGACTGAATCATGAATATGTGTTTATGAATCCATATCAAATCGTGAGCATACGAGACACTCGCGAATGAGTTGTAATTTGAAATAGTAGGGAACAAGATAATGATCGAAATGGTTGACAGTGTAGGGAAGGAAAGGTTGACGAATGGGAAATGTAGTTGACAGTGTAGGGAACGAAAGGTTGACGTATGGGAAATGTAGTTGACAGTGTAGGGAACGGAAGGTTGACGTATGGGAAATGTAGGTGACAGTGTAGGGAACGAAAGGTTGACGTATGGGAAATGTAGTTGACAATGTAGTAAACGAAAGGTTGACGTATGGGAAATGTAGTTGACAGTGTAGGGAACGAAAGGTTGACGTATGGGAAATGTAGTTGACAGTGTAGGGAACGAAAGGTTGACGTATGGGAAATGTAGTTGACAGTGTAGGGAACGGAAGGTTGACGTATGGGAAATGTAGTTGACAGTGTAGGGAACGAAAGGTTGACGTATGGGAAATGTAGTTGACAATGTAGGGAACGGAAAGGTTGACGTATGGGAAATGTAGTTGACAGTGTAGGGAACGAAAGGTTGACGTATGGGAAATGTAGTTGACAGTGTAGGGAACGGAAGGTTGACGTATGGGAAATGTAGTTGACAGTGTAGGGAACGGAAGGTTGACGTATGGGAAATGTAGTTGACAGTGTAGGGAACAAAAGGTTGACGTATGGGAAATGTAGGGAAATGTAGTTGACAGTGTAGGGAACGGAAGGTTGACGTATGGGAAATGTAGTTGACAGTGTAGGGAACGAAAGGTTGACGTATGGGAAATGTAGTTGACAGTGTAGGGAACGAAAGGTTGACGTATGGGAAATGTAGTTGACAGTGTAGGGAACGAAAGGTTGACGTATGGGAAATGTAGTTGACAGTGTAGGGAACGAAATGTTGACGGAACAGAAATGTAGGTAGAAACGAAAGGTTGACGTATGGGAAATGTAGCTGACAGTGTAGGAACGGAAAGGTTGACGGGAAGGGAAATGTAGTTGACAGTGTAGGGAACGAAAGGTTGACGTACGGGAAATGTAGTTGACAGTGTAGGGAACGGAAAGGTTGACGTATGGAAACGTAGTTGACAGTGTAAACGAAAGGTTGACGTATGGGAAATGTACTTGACAGTGTAGGGAACGGAAGGTTGACGTATGGGAAATGTAGTTGACAGTGTAGGGAAGGAAAGGTTGACGAATGGGAAATGTAGCTGACAGTGTAGCGAACGAAAGGTTGACGTATGGGAAATGTAGTTGACAGTGTAGGGAACGAAAGGTTGACGTATGGGAACTGTAGTTGACAGTGTAGGGAACGGAAGGTTGACGTATGGGAAATGTAGGAAGGAAAATGTGAACCCTAATAAAACGCAGGGAACAAATTATGGAAGGAAAAGCCGATCGTATGAGATATATACTATTTAGGAAACAATGTAGAGAACGAAATGGTGAGCGCAGTACAAATGTAGGGAAACATACTTCTAGTGTTTATCGTTTTGACTCCGGTTACTGGAAACACGGATTACCCAAACGCCGGGTATCGGATTTAGTGTTCATGGGAATAGCTAACTTCGAATAGCCGGAGTTGAATTTGTAAACTTTGTTTTAGTTTCCATAGTCGAACGTTGGTACCAGATAGAATTGGGAACACGAAAACGACACATACTTATTGAAGCGAGTTAAGACTTCCCTGATTGCTGGTTACGTTTAAATGTGTCCCTGAACACGTGTTGACGCCGTGGATAGAAAGTGCTCCGTAGTGCTGAATCTCACCACATCCCTTGCCCCACGGTACAGTGCATGGTCATATACGGAACCAATCTTTGGTAAAACAACTCGGCTCCACAGGCTACTTCAGCATCTTACAGATCAACAATACAGGTATGTGATAGAATGTAAGTATGATGTGAAAGAATGCGGAAGTGAAATTTTCATTGAAAACATTCATTATGGAAATAGTTATGACCATTAAAATTGATATTAATTGTATACAGAGAAAAAACAATGTTCGACTTACTCCGATATACAGTCGTACTGTCGTTAAGTCCATTAAAAACCTTTGTCTTTCAACGTAGTTGCACCGTATGTTTGTCACCCTTACATTACCGAAAGGATTATCACGATGACCGGTGTACAATACCATCGGAAATTGGCAAACTAGTTTGACAAAAGACAACGTCATCACAACCCAATTTCGTAAAAGAGAATACGTCATAGCATAATGTATTAACATAATAGTACATCGTAATATCCGCTATGACCATGACTGATTCACCAAACCTATTGGACATTACCAAACGATGCAATCTGCGCGGTGGTTAAGGTATCTTTGTGCCCTATACCTTTTTTTGATAAAGATCAGCCTCCAGGATCGCGTCGACTTACATGCACTGTTTGTCCTTCGATCCACGGAAGTTCAAACTCCGATGAATTCATATCTCTTAAGCCATGTCTTACATTTTTGTAAATCACAGTTTCATACCCGGATGGGTGCATTACGTAGTTTAATTTAGACTGACAGTGATACAACGTGACGCGGAATACGATAACATGAGCGATGTGTACACCAGCTACTCAGCTTTTGCAGTTTCGTTAACAATACATACATTCAAATAATAGCAGGCGAAAAATGCCTCCTACGAACAAGCTCCGTAGATCGGCCACGATGACAGCGTGCTGTGCTACATGTACGTCAAATACAGTACATGGATGATAGGAAACACGTCACGGGAGGGATGAGCATGTGGTGATTACAAGTGTCCGTCATTGATCAATTGGCCGATCACAGAAAGGTGATTAGAAAGATGATACCAAGATACATTCAAAGCTGGCTGTGGTCTGTCACTACAGTTTCATACTCATATCTTCGTTTTGGTCGGATGAGTCATATCGAGGATTTCTTAAAGGCGTATGCAGTTAAATTCTCTGACTAATCCCAATGCATACTTAAATGATAAGATTAAAGGGTCAAAATGATTAAAAACTCATTACTGTATTTATTATGATAATGAAGGGTTGTCCCCGGGAATCAGGAAGTCATCCGTCTGTGTTTGTTTTACTATAAGAAAACGGTCACGTGATAAAACGTATGAGCGTCAGATTGTGTTGTTCACACACCTTCGAATGTCAGTTTCGGGTCATCTCACCGGTACACCGTGTAGACGTCTCTAACTGTAATCAGCTGTTATATCGTTTGATTATATATACGGTTACAGCTGACTTGGCCAGCTTCTTGCATAATCGTTGTACAGCTAGTATATTACCGATGCGACGTTAAATACTCGCTCACTCACTCACTCACTCACTCACTCACTCACTCACTCAACAAACCTAAAAAGTAAGGTTGTACTTATTAATGTGTAACTGAAAATGGAAAGTAGACTAAAATACGCTACACTGTGTCGGTAGGGCGGTAGGATAGTGGTTAAAGTATGCTGGAAACCACAGACCCTAGAACATTACCTATGTCCTGATATTGCAATAATATTGCTAAAATGGCTTAAATCCAACTCTTTCACTAATACTTGGTTTGTTTAAAACAAGTAGTATTATAAAACTGGAATCTGTGATAAGATGCTGAAGGAGCCCCAAGGACACGTGACAATACACAAAGAACAATATAAAACGTGCTGTTATGTACATATGTTGGTCGCCCTGCTGCCTTCGAGAGACGTGTACATCATCACAGTTCCTGGTGATTGATATGTGTGGAGTTTGGATAAATGGAAATACATAATGACTTCAATGAAACCTATGTACAACCCTATAGATGCGTGACCCGAGACATATCGACGTGGTGCAGGACATTAGACAGAGAAAAGGAATCGTTGGAGTCTACTTCGTCCTCCACCGGAAGTACCGAGTGATTAGGTGAGAGCGGAGGCCGGAACTGCCCACCGTCCCCGATGCCAATACTACTCCTGTTAGAATCGGACCTGTTCACGTCCAGCTGGTCATTACCAGGCTTTCTGTCACTATCGCTGATATAAGATTTCCCAGAATTCCTTTGCATATTAGTGACGTCATTACTATCATCTGGTTGATGCACAGAGGCTTTGTGTATTATCACAGACACGTGTTTAGCAATGCTGTTTGCTCGGCCAGCCTCAACGTCCGAGTCTCCATTGCACTCATCACACTCCAGTGACGACGACTGTAACGGATGATGCTGTACCTCTCTCAGTGACGGGGTAGATCCGACACATAACTTACTGCCTTCATCAACAGAATCAAACAAACGTAATTCCTCCTTGGTTGCTAGGGGATGACGCGCACGTATATTGACGTCACTTCCGCGTTCATCCTTCCATCGAACACTACACTTACTTTCCGTGGACCTAACGAGCTGTTTACAGTGTTCCCTTACTAGGGCAATAACTTTAGTTTTATCCATGTCAGGGATATACGCAGGATTATCGAAACATGATGAAGACAAGTGAGAGTTATCCACATTATCTGTGAATATATCGGCCACATTTCCACAACTCCTGGAGATCCGCTTCGTCTCCAGGTATTTCGAAGACACAACGTCATCACTAGGAGTCTCCTGCTTCTCTGACCCTTCCTTTGGTGTTATGTTGGGCAACGAAGAAGTCTTTACCCAAGTATCACCAGTGGGAAATAGTTTCAACTTTATCTTTTCTTGCACGTCCTCCTGATATTTGCGAGACAGCATGTTGGTCCTCTTCTGCCACCGCCTGCTTATCTCCGGAGTCAACAGAAGGGCGGGTGTGCTGATACTCAGAGCTTTAAACAGCGTCCTCTTTATTGAATTACTTCGTGGGAGCTCACCATTAATATTTGGCAACGGAACTTCGATACCCCGAAAATAATTCTTCCTTAACTCGTGTATGATTATTTCATACAATTCCTCTTTGGGTAATTTCAATGTCTTTTCTTGTTCAATATTAACATATTTATCAATTATTTCACAATAAAGAACGCCTGCAATTATCATTATAAATAAGCCGCATCCCATGAATATAGGTCCGAGATATGAAAGAGCCTTGATGCCTGGATGTCGATGCATGGTGTATTTAATGTCACACTGCCCTCTGTTGTGGTTACGGTATGGTTGCTATGGATATCGTGTCCCTCTGCAAACATAGGGTGGTAACCCACTAGTGACATGGCAGCGCCACCTAGTAACACCACCAGGCCAAGAAGACAGGAAGCACAAGTTGGCAAGAGACAAGGCATACGTAAATGCTCCCTCAGTTTCAACTTCCGCCTGGCTGCCCTCTGCCTCCTTGCCGCCCCACGTCTCCGGCGTCCGGGTGCGGGGATGCCCGTGAGGCGAACTCTCGCGTGTGGCACAAACATCGTTGGCGCTGAACGTGTTCACACACGAGAAGGTCACAATGACCTCTTCATGGAATAAGATACTTTGTCCACATTTCCGTCCACATATCCTGGCCGGACCCTCCACGACCGTCCCACGTGACTTGCCACCACGTCACTTCAGGTCTTTGGATGTCAGTCATATCCACCTGAAGACAGAGAGAGAGAATATGAAGATAAATGTTCATTCAACTGCAATGTATTTGAATAACAGAATGTTTATGGTACAATTTGCTTGTATAACTGCGTACGCTATGAAATATTGCCTGGCAGGTTTCTTTGTGTGAATCATATTGTTCAAAATTAGAAAGGCATTAAATCGAAGCTGTCTGGGCCTAACGTGATTACAGTGCCGTTCTTGGCACAATGCCGATAGAACTACGATTGCAATTTTCTGCTCCAAATAAGAGTATTTCAGTGACCGCCATATTAAGTCCATTCAGTGGTCTTCATGGCTTGATTATACTGCGCGTTTTGGTAAACAATTTAAAAGTCCGAAAAAATTGTCTATATAACTTATGCAAGAAAATACGTATTGCACGAGGCAGGTATGTCAAATCCAAGTGCTGTTATCTCGTCACTACTGATGAAGCATTGATCCACGCACAATACAAAGAAAGTCTGATACTGCCCCAGCTCCAGTGCAACACTTCATGGCGTTAATGGCAAACAGACAGACAGGCCCTGTCTCTCAACTCTCCCTCTCTCTCAGCCAACTGAGCCATGTTACTGACTTGAGTGAACAGGAAGGACACATTCTGTTTTCTCCACCTCTTTCCCCCTTTCCCATTTCACTCCTTCCGTCCAACCTTTCTTCAACCTTTCAAAAACTGGGTAATCCTTCCCTCCTCCCTATTGCTACCTCTTTCTCTCTCTCCCTCCCTCTCCTTCTTTCGTTCTCCATAGACACGTGACCAGCTTGTTTGTAGCCTGGCGCCCGAGGTTAGTCTAGACCGGAAATGGGTATTTCGAGGCTGATGACACACGACTGATATATAAGAGCATGGCGGATATATCTTTCAAAACCGCTGATGCGATGTTTGTATAATGGAGCTAAATCTCCGAAAATTTGTTATGATATGAGATCAATCGCAAATGTGTCGGACTCTGGAGCATAAATATGCTCCTTTTAGACAGTATATTGACAAAAGTAGTGTTTCATTAATGGTGCGAAAACAAGAAATCGCCAATTCTGAACTGCTACAAGGATTGTCACTCTATATTTCTACTTTCCAGGGAAAGCCTTTGAATCATATCAAATCAAACAGCAGTCCAGTTTGGTAAAGGGCAGATAGGGCTAATTAGCTGAGAATAATTGGACGTCTTACGAGTATACAACTGAAGCAATCATAGAGCCAATATCCGGAGATGAACACGAGGGGAATCATACTGTTCCTTGGGTTACGGGCGAGGTGGTATGTGGAAGAGGATTGTGCATGGAGGGAGGAAGCCCACGAGATGGAGAGACAAGAGATGGGGAAAGAACACAAAGGTTACGATTGTGGTTCTACTACATCGACATAGACTGGGCTCCGTATGATCGGTACAAGAATTTGCGCCGACTGGTTTTGCATACACAAGTCGACAAGTAGAAATACGACAAGTACATGTTGTAGGTATTGCAAGTACTAAGTCAAGCATATCTACGTTGTTGTCATGCTTATAGGTGACACAGTGGCCTGTTTTTCAATTGTAGTTAACAGAAGTAAATGTTCCAATCACTGATTTGATGATAACTGACTTCCACATATTGTATATTTGATATTGATGGTACTGAACAATTAGCGCACTCCACGAGTGAAACAAACCCACACGCCTAAACATCTATAACTTTAAAGGTTGTTCCCATCGGTTCCAAGAATGATGAAGTTCATCATAAGCGGATAAGAAATTTCATTTTAGGATAGCGGCAGGTGACCTGGATTCATGGCTATGAACCTAGAGAAACACAGTCTATGGAACAGAAACGCTTCGATGCTCCCAAAACCAAAACGTTCCAAGCTGCAAGACCCACCTGAAAACCGATGGCCACCATGTTTAAAAAAAAGAAACAACAATTACACAAATTCACGGCGCTAGAAGCGCTCATAAAACCACGAGGTGGTGTGCTCCTCCATACCACAACGTTCCGGGGTATGTCAAGTAATGTTATAGTGGAATGTGGATACAGGCGTCTATCCCATTGAACATATTCACCAGAAACGAAAAGGCCTGCTTTCAAATTTAGAAACAAATAATTTGCATGGTTACCAAGGACCTTTCTACATGCATACACTTTGTACATCAAGTTGAACTTACTTGTGACGGTTCCCAATTGCGCAGATCGATGCTCATGCTGTTGATCACTGGATTGTCTGGTCCAGACTCGATTATTTACAGACCGCCGCCATATAGCTGGGATATTGCTGAGTGCGGCGTAAAACTAAACTCACTCACTTACTTGTGACTTTACACAAATGTAAGGCATACATATATTTAATCATTTATGTATTCATCTTCCACTATATAAGGGGGTAAGTGCATGCCTCTATCATCTCACCATACATCCAGATCAACAGTCGTGTGAGATCACTATTTTTACCCTGGATATCTAGCTAGCCTTGGCTGTTCCGGAAGCTTGTCTACCGTTGCTGCTGAATGAACATCATGGATATTATTGCTACTACCATTGCTATTCTATTGTACATTGTTATTGTACTGAAACTGGATTTTGTACTGCCACTCGTACTACCTTTGTATTTACTTTGCAGTAAATTGGATCTGTCCATTGTATAAGATGATTATTAATTGTATAAATTGTATTTCTTGTGTGTTGGTTTCACACTGAGCTCTTTTGATTTCTGGGTTAACATTTCTATATTACTTGTCATTGATCACATGTTAGGTATGTATGGAAATATACGCTGACCATATAGTAATTACGGTTGTAAGATATCTACCACGTGTCTTGGCTCACTAGTCATTCTACACGTGTAGGATGTGTACACTAGACTGTCGATCTGCCACTCTATGTTAGGTATGTATGGAAATATACGCTGACCATATAGTAATTACGGTTGTAAGACATCTACCACGTGTCTTGGCTCACTAGTCATTCTACACGTGTAGGATGTGTACACTAGACTGTCGATCTGCCACTCTACACATGCGTCGCCGACCCACATACACTTAATTACGACCTGGCGTTGGCGGACTGCGCCTGTCACGCAGCAAATCCCGTCTCAACCTTCAATATTTCTCTCATTTATTTTCTAATTTTCTCTATGACTTCAGGCACGGTTTCAAAGTCACGTGATAGCGGATTGATCTGCAGGAAGTTCCTATACGTGACCTCAGCATTAGGCCTGGAACAATCCGCGTTAAAAAGTAATTACTCTATAAGTACATCCAACCTCTTTAACTTAATAAAAGATTATGCCAGGACCATCTATTCCATTTCTGTAGGACCGATATACCTCTGTGCACTGCCTCGTCCCCGTTTGAAGACGTGACGAGCCGGAGATCTGGATCCATCTTAATAAAGAAGAGCAAAAGGTGTGCCTAGCTCACCAGCGTGTATTAATAATCAATAATGTCGTTACATTACTGGTATTTCACAAGGTGCTGAGATCATCTGGCCATGCTTATCAAACAGTCTGTTTGCAAGGAAATATTGTGGCTTGTGTGAGATCAGGCGAGATTGGATTTGCCTTGAGCACATTTCCCGTCAGCTGAGCACTCTGCTGTGTTTATATGTTTGGCAGTAGATCATATGTACATACAACAACGTTGACAATTACTTCGCTGTATTGCCCCTTTATGTAACTAGGACCACTGAGCAAATACAGAATAGTGTCTGCACAAGTCGCCCACAGCCATCGGATTACCCCTGGCTAATGGACGTCGACTGCGGGAGACAGTATAGAACTCTAGAGACTTCTCATATAGTTAGATGTCAATGGGGCAGATTCATGGTTTCATATATTCATCAAAAAACAATGTCAGTTTCAGAAACATGTTGAATGGCTTTTAAATAATAAATACTTTTATTCCTTAGTTAATATTATGGGTGTTTATGCTACAAGCACTCTGTCAGTTGAAACAGGAACAAACCAGGAATCAAACAATTTACGTGTTGTGCAGATATAAACACTCAAGCAATCGCTGATTTGATGACACGCAATGTGAGCAAACTCTTTGACTTACAAAGAGAATTGTCAGCTGAAGGTATATAGAGCGCAGTGATGGTGGTAGTCAGGTAATGGGTGCTAGGAAACAAACACCCAGTCTCCATGCAACTTGTGTGGTCTCAATAGAGATTGGAATGCTACCCCTTTTGTCAAAATCTTAGAGCGATTTTCACTGACCCATTCATATACTTTCCCCACTATTTTACCCTTTACGTCCAATTCGACATGTTTCCGGAGATAATCGAGGCTAAATATTCTCTGTCGGTGACGTTTCATATTTACCCAACGTCCACCTCGCCGACGTCACCAACGTAAACCGTCTCCATCCTCGACTACAGGATAGAATCTCTGTCATGGCGGCAATGTCACAGGCTGAGGCACTACTGTACATGCAGAACCATGAATGTCAAGTCAGATTTCATTTGTATCAGATGGAGAGATCTGCTTAAATGTTGTTATTTTTGTATTTTCTAAATTGCGCAAGATTTTTTAACCGTCTCCCCAATGTTTTCGATGTTAATTGTTCTACTAGGCCTGGGTATGATAGTTTGCGTGTTTGTTCCATGCCTTTGGCCTTCAAGCAGTGACATATTAGCCTGTGCACATTGTGTAACACTTGATCTCTAGATGGCGTGCTGATGCTATGGGATGATGGATAACAATCTGCTCACCAGGCACTACAGTACTTCTGAAGGAGTTCTTTACCTGATTCTTATGCAGAAAACGATACCTTCACTGAGTCCAGTATACGCAGATATGCGCAAGCTCCATACAGCGTCAAATTACAAAAGCTGCGGGTAGCCCACCGTCAATTACACGGTATACACAAAGCCTAGAGCACGGCGGAAATAGAGTCGCTCCTGAGACTGGAAAGTCGGGGTGGGACGACGGAGCTGGCTGTGTGAGCCTAGGGGTGCGAGACATATCTGGGGATGGGGAAATTACATCAGGTTGCCCAGGGTACAGGCGACAGAACGCAG